CAAAACTGGAGGGACAATGCTAGAGACAACTAAAAATGGTATTCTAAAGTAATCACTAATAATGTGATACTCACTTTTTTTTTAAAAAAGTAAAAAAAAAAAACAGACACAACAACATTGTAGCAGTGGGTGGGATCACTGTCACATCATTAGTAGTGGCACTAATTAGTACTGCCACTCATTTTCCAAACTAGAGTGTGCATTGCCAAGTGTATGTTTTGGTTACCATCTATATAGCTCGCTTTTTGTTGTTCTTAACTTTTTCTTATGTTTTTAAATTTTGGTTTTTTTTAGGTGCGTTTGTTTGGACGAATTGGATAAAGGGGGATTGTAATCCATCGAATTATTAGTTCTGAGATATATTGTCCCAGGACTATTTAGTTGGATTAAATTTGTATCCTATGTTTGTTTAGTCATGGGATTAGATGTCTGGATTGAACTATTTTTAGTTATCCAATGTTTGTTTGGGATATTGTGGAGAAAGATAAATGCTCAAATGACTATTTTATCCTTTTCAATTATTTACTAAGTAATATCAATATTAAACATAACTTTAATATTTTAATTATTTTTAGCTAGATTAAATAAAAATTTATTTTATTTTATTTTTTGCACAATTTTTTAATTATTTTAATTTATTATTTTCAATTAAATTAAATTTATAATTTAAATTTTTATTTAATATATAATTTTAAATTAACAACACTAAAAAAATAATTTATAAATGTTCAAAAGACTATTTTATCATTTTCTAATTGTTTGCTAAGTAATAACATAGAAGGTAAAATAGACATTTCACAAAATAATCCCATGGGATACCAATCCCATGGTTTTTATCGCATCCCCCCATGGGATAGGATAGTCCCATATTTGTGAGACAAATAGTTTGAGGAGACTATTAGCCCGGAGCAAAAAAAATGAAATAAACAATAGACTATTAGTTCGGTGGGACTAATAGTCCAATCTCACCCCCTTATCCCTCAAAACAAACACACTCTTATTGTACTATTAGGCAGGATCCAAATCCAATGCACCCTCTCATTACTAGGTATATATATATATATCATAACAACTGGACTATTTTGAAAAAAAATGGCTAAAAGTCTTTTAATTTTTAACTCATTTTGGATCATATTATTTTTTACGTATTGTATATATTTTTTCAAAAAAATTCAAAAAAATTAATTTTTAATCATCTTCTCAAAACAAACATAACACTAGATTGGTTTAAAATTCAAGATTCTCATTATCACCCTTGGATTCACCAATGATGACCCAATTTTTTTTTATTTTTTTATTTTAAAAAAAAAGAGTGGAGAAGAAAAAATCAAAACATTTCACATGAACACTCAATAAAAGGCGAAAAGAGTCAACTGCGTGGTTAATATTTAAAACTTGGGTCTTGTTAAGAAATGTTCTAGGCACAAGAAAAGAACAAAATAAGGGTAGAACCCAATACACCTAGGATGTTCTACTTCGACCAGCAAAAACATAATCAAAAGAAAATACTAAGAATTGGACACAAACTAGGGTGGTTGTTTGTTCTACGGAGGGTGCTCTGATTAGAGGTTTTGTTGCCTTTGTTTTCCTGTGTTTAAGACTTGTGTGTCTAGTACATTATTTGCCAGGTATTTTCCCCTTCTTGTAACGTTCTATTATCTTGTATAAAATGTTACTTCTTTTACTGAGCTTAAACACGAATAGACCCACACACTCTCTGATCGAATGACCTAGATCAAAGAAGAACCAAATGGGTCAAATGAAATAGCATATTGATCATTGACCGTGCTGTTTGATCTAATTTGATAAAATTTTATGGTAAATTGCTTGAACATGAATACCAAATGGGTCAAATGAAATAGCATATTGATCTTTGACCAGCTGTTTGATCAAATTTGATAAAATTTTAAGGTAAATTCGACCACACAATGATCATACATGATCTCATCCACAAGTAGGACACATGTCTTGATTTGTGTGCATGATAGAGCTTAATATGAGATCACCTTTTCTTTTGTTCATATTGCTCTTTGTTTACTTCTCCTCTATGCATTCTCTGGCAAATTCGAGGAAAATTAACAGACATATACATCCATACGCACATATCCCCCGACAAATTTTAAACTTTATGACTTGTGCAAGAAAGAGTCTTATACACTATATATGACGACAACATTTTTTTTGACTTTATATTTATCAGATACTGAATGTGTGGCCACGTTATCATTGAAGAAGAGTCACTCTTATGCAACAAATCAATCTGGTTACACATGAATAGCCAGAGGAGTGCCACTACAGCAACATCCACTAGGGTCAGCATCAAACATTCCTTATAGACTTTGAGAGCAACAATTCCTTACTGAGAATTGATCAGAGACTCCTAGATCTCATGGACCTCTTCAAAATCAAAACCCTAATTTTGATGACGAAAACTGATCCTACTCGTGTTTTTTTTTTTTGATCGGCAACTGATCCTACTCGTGTTGAATTGCTCTCACTACAGGAAATTCGTTGAATTGCTCAAAACCCTAAAATCAAAACGCCGCGAAAATCCTGAAAAACGCCGTATTATCTTATAGTGACGTGTAAAATTTTCGCCGCTGATAGGGCCGCCGCAATAGCTACACAACGTTTGAAAAACGTCGCTAAAAACATTATACGGCGTTTCTTAAAACGCCGCAAAATATTTGACGACCGTCCGTCCCCAGTAACGTGTGACGTGAGAATGACGTCATTTAGTGGCGTTTTTCGAAAAACGCCACTAAATGACGTCATTCTCACGTCACACGTTAGTGGGGATGGACGGTCGTCAAATATTTTGCGGCGTTTTAAGAAACGCCGTATAATGTTTTTAGCGACGTTTTTCAAACGTTGTGTAGCTATTGCGGCGGCCCTATCAGCGGCGAAAATTTTACACGTCACTATAAGATAATACGGCGTTTTTCAGGATTTTCGCGGCGTTTTTTAAACGCCGCTAAAAAACGAATTTCCTGTAGTGAGAAGAGCCGACGGGGCGGCTAATGCTATTGTCACCAAATCCGGCTCAATACGAAAGGTCGCCTTGTCAGCCGGCAAGAAGACCGAGGAAGCCAAACTCAATGCCACAGCTGGATCTTTCAAAGCTGATGCTTCGGAGGAGATCGGCATGTTTTTTATCTTTGGCTCAATAACGAAAGGAGCAACCACAGCTGACTCCTCTAAGCGTGGCCGTTTTTCAATAGGGCCCTCTTCGGAGCCGTCCTCGCCCTCAGCGCTTCATTTTTTGCCCCAATCCTCCGAAATCGGCCGCCCTTCAGTAATCGGGCGCTCGACCTCCTTTTCCGTCTCGGCAATGACAACGTGAGCCGTTTCTTCTACAACAGTATGGGCAACAGATTCAGTCGGGACAAGTCCAGAACGCCAAGGTAAACAGCATGTGCATCCACAGTTGGAACAAAGGCATTCTGAGGAAAAGCAATTCCTTGTGTGTTGGCCCCAATACTTCATCTACAACAGGTTGAAGCAATCTGGGTTCAGACCAGTATCATGTGTACATGTATATACAATTTGCAACATTTGTGGTTGAGTGCTCAGTTTGTTCCGCAGGAATAAATAAATAAATAAATTGGCAAAAAGAATTTCGACAAAGAAATTTTTGCAAAAACTGTTTATCTTATGTTTTGTTGCATCCTTGAAACTAAGCAACAACATACACGCAGCAGCATACACACAGCAACAACATTTTTATTTTTTATTTTTAATCATTTTCCTGGAAGGTAGAAAGGTCAAAGCCAGGAAGCTAGACAACAAGAAGCTTTCACTACATTATAGATTTAATGTTATTATAGATTTATAATTTATAAATTAGACCTAATCATTAAATCTATAAATTATAGTATTCATAGCTAATCTATAATCTATGAATACCTAATCAATTAGCTAACGAAGTACTAAGTAAGGCAGATTCTGTAGAATCTGTGTTTGAGGCTGTCAACAAACATAGAATCAGTGTTTGAATCTGTGTTTGAATCTGTAGAATTAATTGGTTGGTGAGCTCCCATTTCAAGGTGATTCTGTAGAATCTGTGTTTGAGGCTGTCAACAAGGTGAAACTTGATTTTTGCAGTGGAGTATGGGAATCAGTACCCCAAGCTGCTTGTGATCTAATTGCTCATATACTTACAAGGGATGTTTCAGCGAGGTTCAATGCTGACGAAGTACTAAAATGAAGGGTTCACTTTAGGCTGCATTTTGGTAATCAGATAACTAGGCACAGGAAGGGTTCACTTCTTTTCTTGCTACCATTTTGGTTGTCGAAAATGAAGGAAATGACTAATTTTGTTGGAAGTTATCCTTGGAAAATGAAAGGTAGATGCAATATTTTGAAGTCATTGGTCACGTGGAAGTAGGCCATTTGTTCATAAATTTTTTGTATCCCACTACCTGATCAATTTTGATAATGGCTGACCTATTACTTCTATTATACTGGCTTTATTTTCAAGTGATCAAGTTAAATAAAAGGTGGATGAAATGTAGATTTCATTGGTATATCTGCCATTTTGGATAATATAATCATGTCATTCTAGAGTATCATTCTTTTAGTGTTCAAGATGTTGCAATCAAGTTCATGAAACATTTATCAATCCCCCAAGGCTGTTGATCTAGAGTTATATGCCTCTTTCTCATCATCCTGAGTTCCACCAAAGGGGTAATAAATGAACATATAAACTGCCTTGTAAACAATCAGGAAGATAAATTGTCCTTCATATTGTTCTTACCCATTGACTAATGATTTATGGAAAGGTGCTGCTCAGGCTATTTTGGATTTTGAGGTGAAGTGGGTGATATAGGACAGCTTTGAGAAACTTATGACAAAGCAGCATAGAGTTGGTTTTGTGGTGGGTTTTAGTTATGGAAGGTTTCTAGGTTTACTGTTTACTGTTCACTGTTCAAATAGGTAGAAAAAAATTCTAGGGTTTTTTAAATGGTTGTTGCCTTGATTTAAATTTTAAAAAAGGTGAGTATAATGGTTTAGAATGAACCTGAGTTTGTCATATCTACTTCTTCTTCTTCTTCTTTTCTTTCTTTGATATGTGAACCTGCATTTGATAAGAACAAATAACATGAATAAAATGTCATATGAAAATTTCATAATTAACTTTTACTCACTTCCTCGGACGAACGATGACAATTAAATGATGAGGTGTATGCATGGGATTGTTGTTGTGAATGCACATGTGTAGCAGCTGGTGCAACAGGCCCACCCATGGCCTGTTGAGACTCCAATTGCTCTATTCGGGCTTGTTGAGCTTGGATTGTGCTTTGCATCTCCATTTGTACTTTCTGTTGATTAAGCATAGCATCCATCATCTCCTTTATTTGTATCTCCATTTGTGTTTTATATTGGTTAAGTTGCTCTTGGACTTGCGTTTGGATGATACGAGTTTGTTCTTGCGATTGCCTATATCCGCCTCCAAAGACATCTGTCGGGGAAGGACCCAATCCATATGTTCGAACACGACCAGGTCGCTCAGGCCCTAGAACCTGTGTGATAATTTCTTCATCTGTAGCATTGGATTGCGCCCCAAGGTCCTTCATTTGTGTCTACAATTGTTAATTAGTAATTAGCCACCAATAAAATTGTTCATAACTAGTGCCACAAGTCACATTAACAGATAGTTGACAAGCAAAGAAACTGGAGCTGATGGAGATGATCATAATTACTTGTCACCAGGGAACATGGTGGACATGACATTTCAAATGGAGTCGAGAAAAGCCTTCCATGTATCTTCCACCACAAGTATATTACAAGACATTCAAGGACAGGGATGGAGAGAGGGGAGGAGGGTTTATTTATCTCCATTTTATCTTCCCTTCAACAGTACCATCACAAGAGGGATCAGATTCACAAAACAATTTCACAAGAACAAGAATAAAATCATCCTTTCTTTAAAATTATCCTAAGCTTAACAAGAACAACTATTACCTGCTTATTGATGGTTCATGCAAATACAGTGTAATATGTTTTTGCCTTCCCTAAATTTGAAAACTATTTCTTAGATTCTTTTTTCTACTCTGTTAAACTTTTTCTGAGTTTTCTCTTTTTTTCCCTTCAGGTTAAAAAAAAGGAAGTATCATGATGTGATAGAGTGACATTTTGAGAAAACCTTCCTAACCAAGACATTAGAGTCATGCCATAATGCCAGACTTCCCAGGTCCTGAACTGGCACATCAGGTAAATATGGAAGTATTTCCAAGGGTGAAGCTTCAATGCTGTCCTTTATTTATATTCCCTCTTTCTTTGTCATTGTGCCAATTCTTTTTTTGATGAGTACAAAATTATATTCAAAAGGAGGCAGTAGCCTACATGTACACAAAAAATATCTATAACATCTATACATCAAAATCCCATTCATAGGCCTCTACAAAATCCAAAAATGAAGGGCCCAAAACATAGAAGCAAGAAGCGACGCTTTGTTTCGCCTTGCGCTTTATCGCCTAAGCCTCGCCTCAACCTCGCCTCTCCATATTGCCTCGCTTCGAACCCTATGGCATGCCGTGTCTTGATTTTCGAAAATATATGTTATGTCGTGTCTTGATTTTCAAAAGCAATAACAATTTATTTTTTGTCGTGTCTCTGTCATGCCGTGTCTAACAAACTAGGGTTGTCTTTGTTATTGCTTTTGTCTCTGTCATAGCGCGCCTCTAACAACACTGGCTTTTGTGTACATATATGTAAATATATATATATATATTTATTTATTTCTTGTCATATATATATATATATATATTTATTTATTTCTTGTCAGGTTGTCTCTGTCATGCCGTGTCTTGATTTTCGAAAATTGTTGCTTCAGTGTGTCTATATCATGTCATATTCATGTCGAGAGTCCATATTTGTGCTTCATAGATAATAAGACGTTCAATCTAGAAACAATTCTAGATACAAACCTAACTCGAAGGCTTATTAGTACAGACCATCAATGATCGGGGTGCATAATCACGTAATCTAGTTCCGTCTACCTAAAAATATGTTCTCAAACATAACATTACATTACATTCACTCCATTAACAAGTTCATTTCAGGCCCGCTCAATGTCACTTCCACTTACAATAACTCTTTACTTTTTCTTAATCTAACGAACAACATGTTCTCAAATAGGATATTTCAATCCATTATAACTTCAACAATGTTCCTTTCAGCCTGTTTAATTTAGTCCCAGCCACTTAATAACTTGCATTTGATAAAGGAGCCCATATTTCATTTCATAACTTGCATTTGATTAAGGAACCCCCTTCACTGTTCAGTCTTCAGTAACACATATAGGATGATTAGTTCTTTAATACACATGGTTAATTTAGCTCCAATAGACTGAAAACTAAGTTATGTTTCAAAAATGTTGAACCTAAATATGACTGGTAGATTTCCTCAGCAGAAAAATTCCCAAAAGCAGCCCAACAAACTAACATGACTACTAGCTAGCTAAGAGGGGTTTATACAACTGATGAAAGCAAATTAAATGTAAATTAGTTTCTTTGAACTTGTCATACTCTGCACTGATATGGACCCTAAAAGATATATTTTCAATTTGTCTTACTTAAGAATATGCAAATGATACATTTACACGTATTATTATTGTCTTACATATTAAAAAGTTATTACTTCCTTTACCGGTTAACACTTTATGATATGTCACTATATACAAGTAATGTCATGTATTCTACTGTTATAAGATTAAAACTGAAAATATTAATTCTTTCCAGAATTTGATTTGTCTACCTTGGTCGAGTTTATTTTTTCTGGTAAAGTACCAAAATATAAGATTAAAACTGAAAATATTAATTCTTATAGGGGTCAAGAAAGTGTAAATTGTTGAATGTGTCTGCTAATTGATATATTTTTTTCTCAAGAAGTTATATATAAAAAAGTTAATTGCTAACAGAACATGAGAGGTTAATTTACAACCAACTTTACTCTTTTCTTGACATCTATTTGTCCTCAGCTATACTTGTCTTGTCCTTTAAGTGACAACAATAACTCACATTTGGGATTTTTTGTGTATGTGTTGGAGCATATGGCTTTTGTGATAAATGGAGGAAGTGCATCTGTTATTTTATATTCATGGTCAGGTTCTTGGTATTAGTTAATGGCTTTCTAGCAAGTTTTTCGGGACCTCTGGTGGCTTGAAATAGGGAAATTCTCTTTTACTGTTGCGATTTGGGACAGAGTAAAGGTGTTGATCTGGACAAATGGATGATTCATGTTTATACGTATATATGGATGATTCATTGCTCTGAAACAAGTGGAGAAAATGAATGAAAGAGATGTAGCCCTTGGGCTTTCGTGTGTCGTGGAATTATGCATGGCCTGTAGCAAATAATTTTGGTGTTCTTCTCTTCGTTTTGTTTATAAAATTTTGTTACTGTTTACAAAAGATCAGGATTGCGAATTAAAAGAAAAGAAAAAGAGTCAATTTTTTTGAGAAAAGAGAAGCAAATTGAAGTATTGGTTTTATTGGAATATGATGGTAATAAAGTCTATACAACAAAAGAATATGATAATGTCACTACAAGCAGCTGTAGGAGCAAATATTTTAACAAGTACAAGAAGTTTTAGTGATGATGTAGGGCTATAAACTGCCAAACAACATAGAAATATAATTTTCCCACATAGAATAGTAGTAGTTTTGAACCAAGATTAAAACACTAATATCTGATTCTTTCCCAAACTCAAAGAAAATGCTTTAATTTGGTAGCTTTTCAGATTTGGAAAGAAAGTTAAACAGCGGCTTAGAGCTAGCCTCTTGCATGATACACTGTGATAAAGGGATCAGATGGCGCTGTAGGGTCAGCTCGTCAAAACCTAAGCGACTAATTCTTCAGACCTTAGCTGGTGAGGAGCACTCAGCTCAAATTTGGATTTTCTTCACAAAAAGTGTCACCTCTTTGCAGATTAATCCTCATTTAAACTAGTTCTCTTAACCCCACAAGACTTTTATACAAAAAGACCCCAAAACTAAAGCACATCCAGCCAACTTATGAAACACTCCCAAACACCAAATTATTTGACTCTGCTGAAGATGACTTACCTCGAGAGTCTTTAATTTCCTGTATAAATCGAGGGTATTATTAACTAGCACGTTAAGTGCTCATGTGGTGTAAGTTTATGCCTGACCTAACAAATTATGTATGCGGGTTCGTTTCTCCTTTTTCCCTAGTAATTTCATATGTGTGTGTGTGTGTGTCCATAATGAGTTCACATACCCATATCCTAATTTGGATAATATCCGAATATCCTAAGATTTAAGTTTATGAAGGTCTAACACTTAGAGACACACCCATACACGATACTCATACCCGATTCCACATCACATGGGGTATCACGAAGTTTCTAAGCAATGGATTCGAAGGCATGAATATCTACACTTATGAAAAATAAATATAATGGGAGGTAAAATCTTAGAAGATATTCAATAAAGCCCATACTGAACTATCAAATAAGGCTGTATTCCATAGTGGAAAGTGCCCTCTCACTCCCCATGTTTATCTATATAACATTATCATGTAACAAGGGAAAAAGACCATCCTTCAGTGCTACACGTCACTAATGGAGGCTACTAGGAAAGATACTATGCATACATACCTAACCTTAACTATTAGCAGGAAGTGATTGACTTCCCTCAAGCTTCAACCATTGCACCAGGCAGAGCACATTGCCAACAAGGGTACACAAAGATTTGAAGTATCCCTACATCACTATCATGAAATCGAAATACATATATATATTTCAATATTTACTGAATTTATAAATGCAATTTCCAGAATTACTATCAAGTACTAAACACTCATTTCCATTGCAACATTATTTCACACGTTATTATTGCAGACAAACTCTCACAACTGTTATTCTCCCACATGCAGTACTCCATTCACCAGCTATTTCCTTCCTAAATTGTTATACAATTAGCAGCCATTTACAATTTTAAATTCCCAAAAAAATTGATTGTATTATATAACTTTTTACCAGCAGTTCTAGAAATAGCAGTACTATATGGGCAATGACAGCATTACGTAAAAAATTAACATTAGTATAACAGAAACGCCATATCACGTCTTTCCTTTGAAACTTCCCAGTTCCCACATAAATGGACGTTAATGTAAAATACCACCTAATACCTTTCCATTTCAATATTTCAGTAGCATAATCATGGTTTACTATGTGAATTCAGAATTTTATAATTCTCCATCCACAGATATTCCTGTTCATTTGCGTAATCAGAATTCTTCTGCACAATTTTTCCTGTTGCTCTACTAGTACTGTTAGATTCCACACTCCTTTTCCATCACTTCTAGAGCTACAAGGTTTTCTTGCTTTATATCTCTTACATAAGAAGAAAAGCAACTCCGTGCTCTCTATTACAGATTCCAGTGGAAGAACAATTTAGTCACATTCAATTTACCCACTCAGAGAATTTAATCAGTATAGCACCCAAAATGCATAGAGTAATTATTTTTTCTTTATTCCCCACCCAACCCCCCCTCCCCCCGGCGTTGTGATAAGATTGATAAGTTTAAAGTTATGTAGCAAATATTGTTAGGATAATACAGAGAATATGATATAATTACAATCCATTGCCAAATGATGATTTAATCATACCTTTCCAGCACTACTTCCAACAGCCATGAAATAGCCTCCTTCTCCATCAAACTCTATTGCAGTAACCTCCTACGAATCCATAGATATTGTTAGAGCATATTCTTAGTCACGGAAATTCATTATTGAAACCTAAAGCTTCTTCCTCCTCCTCCATATGGTGGAAGATGGTTTCAAAAAAAAAAAAAAAAAAAAAAAAAAAAAAAAAGAGAGAA